GAGGGCCAGCAATTTGCGAGGAGCTGAGCATCGTTGGCTGCAGGTCGAGGGAAACATGTCGGCCGTCCAGGCCACCCTTCTCGACATGTGCTGGCAGCCCAACTTCCCAGGGGAGTGGGCTATACCAGTCGGTTTAAACTTCAGTTTTGAAGGGACCGCATGCCCAGACAGGCTGCATTGGCTCAAGCAATTACCTGGCTCAAGCAACGTCGCTCAAGCTAACTTCAACTTGGCATCCTGATTTATAACTCATCTGTTCTGTTTACCCGGAGTGCACACAGGATACTTGGGAATATGGCAAAACGTGGAGGGGCCGCGACAGGCTCGACACCAGACAGGAACGGAGGACGTAAGGAGAAGGACAATATGAAGGCCATGATCGAAGATGCGGAGGAGGGAGACGAGTACTTGAGCACAGCTCCAGACTATTTCAAAGAGTTCGCCCGAATCCAATCAAAGCAGTTCGACGCCCTAAAAGAAGAAGTGGCTGGCGTCAAGAACCTCATCGACCAGGCGAGGATCGAGGCGCAGGACGCAAGGAGGGCAGCGGAGGAGGTCCAGGATAAGTTGGAGGAGGTGGAGATGGACGTGGAGGGGATCAGGAACGATTTGGAGGAGATGTACTTGACCAAAAAAGAAATCGAGGACATCATTGAAAACAAGTTCCAGGAAGAGACGGACATAATCAAGCACAGCAGTAGATCTTCCGGGGGAGGCGTGTGGCAACGTAAGGGACAGGAGGGGGAGGGGAATGCAGACAACACCACGGAGGCGGAGGAGCGTACAAAATAGGTGATCGCTTTCGGCTTCGCGAAACGCATCGCTGCAGAGAAGATCGTTTCTGAGCTGGAGAGAATGTTAGAAATATTGTTGGGAGATGGGCATAATGTTACGGTTGCTGCCCCACAATTTCCATCAAATATTGGGTTCCTATCTTTCCAGACGGTCCGGGACAAAATCAACTTCTACAAAAAGGTCCGGGACACCGAGAATCCAAAGGATGTAGTTGGAAACATTTTCTTCCGCAGCAACCTTACGAAGGACGAAAGGGCCAGGGAGAAGCAGCTGGGGTACATGAAACAGCACCTGAACAACCACGAAAAGTTTAAAGACAACAAGGTGATCAGTGTGAAGATCGTGGGGTCGAAGAGCATGATTGTAATCATCGACGCGGGCGGGAAGGAGAGAAAAATAGGATGGTTTAGCGACAGTGGGGACTGGTGCACGTCAGCTTCAGGGAGGTTGGTGCAACAGGCAGTGGACGATTCTATGAAGGAATGGCGGGAGAAGGTTTCCCCGGAGCCGGACACAGAGAGCGAGTGACGGCGACGTGGCGTTGGACCAGAAGTACGGGATGGAGGAAGAGGGGAAATCGGGGGAGGAATAAGGCGACGTATCGAGTCGTATCTACCTGTACGAGCACAGCCTCATGATGATCCAAATTTGCGTGAGATGGAGCAGCACTCGCCGGTACAACCGGCGTCAGCTACTACGTCCAGAGGGTGAGGGAGGGGTAAGTATGCCGAGGTTGCTGGGGATCTACCTTGCTGCATGTCCGGCCCGCTGGCATCAGGACCTGCGCCGACCATAGCATTTGGAGGAAGTGCACCTTTTGGCAGTACCAGTACAAGCGCGGCCACAACAGGAGGAGGAGGGCGTGGCTTATACAAGCATGTGAACAGCGATTTCCCCATAGCTTCGTTACGTCATTTTTCGGGTACTGCTTCGAGCCCGCGCCCGCCAAGGATTCCAACATGTCACGACGTGGCAGATGAAGGCACCACGATACATAAACATAGCGAGGACGAAACAACATATACTCGGCGCCGCAATCTTGAGGTCGTCGCCTTCAACGCCAGAGGCCTTATCAACGATGACCGCATCGATGAGCTGCTGACGGAAGTAGGGACCAAAAGGTGGGGTATCATTTTGATTACCGAAACTTGGAGGCGACAAGATGCAGAACTTTGGGCGACGCACGGGGGCCATACATTTGCAGGGTCCGCCAGTTCATCTGATGGGAGGAAAGGGTGTTGCAATTGTAATCCATCCACAGATCGTGTAAACTTCTCAAGTTTGTTCCAATCAACGAAAGAGTTGCGTGTGTTGACATCAGATATTCCACGCGCGTCGTGCGAGCTGTAGTTGCATATTTTCCTGACTGCACTTGCACATACGTACATGTACAGGAGGTGTACACAGCATTAGCCGCCATAAAGCAGGAAACGAGAAAGAAAACGATTCTAGTGTTCGGTGGTGACTTTAATGCGCAGGTGGGAAGCAGGCTGGAAGACGACTCCGACAATACAGTTGGGCCATGCGGATTTGGCACAGAAACATGGATGGGGACAGTGGCTTAAACAATGGTGCACGCAGCACGACCTCAGCATTGCAAATACGTTCTGCTCACAGCAGCCGCAGAAGCGAATCGCTTATTACTTATCCAACGGGCAACCACGACAAATCGATTATGTTTTGGTTCATAAGCGCATGCGCCGGTATGTGACCAACTCCGGGTCCAGCGACGTTCTTGATTTGGGCTCAGACCACGGAGCTGTACAAGCTAGCTTGCGACTGCCGCCAAAAGCAACGAACAATCACAGAC